TCGCACGCTCGGCCCCCCTGCCCACCTTCGCCCGGCTCACCGGCGCGCTTCTCCTTTCTAACTCGGCAGAAGAAGCCTGCGACGAAAGGCGGCAAAATAATGAAGCAGGTCCTCAAGTTCACTCTGGACTGCACCCACCCCGTGGAAGATGGCATCATGGATGCAGCCAACTTCGTAAGTGTTAAATGCGTCAGCCCCGCGGTGTCCAGCCACTAGCCACATGCGGCTGTTCAGCTGGTTGAGCGTGGCTAGTTGGCTAAAGCTTCAGAACTGCTTGGACACCGTGGTGCTAGTCCCCAAGTGTTTCTTCTGTAATGGAGTTTTCCAGTAGGAGCTCCAGCGCAAGAATCATTTGGCAGCGATATGAAATGACTATGAAAACTTATTTAGTATAGTAAAATCTACTAACTTCTTCCCTTCTGAGCTGTCACTCTCTTGGGTTCTCTTAGGGATGTTAGAGTTTAACCAATTAACCAAGAAGCTGATGCTCCTTGTTTAATGCTATCAGTTAAACTTCGAGTTGCATTATATGGTATTCAAAGGCAGGTGACAGTCACATATCTCTACTTACCTACTGTGGTTACTCACAGCGGAGAAGCAGTGTTGGGATTTGTTCATCTAAAAATGAGATCTGCAGATGAGATCTTAAAAGGGTGTGCACTGGTTAGTGGTTGGCATTGAGAATGGGTAAATTTGAATTCATTCACATTGGGCTGGCAGTTGAGTGGAACTCTGCAAAACTAGTGCATGAATATTATGGAAGGAACAATATTTGCTTCTAACACCTTCACTATCCCAGAACAAAAGCCAGTATCTGAAAGTAAACCCTTTCTGTGCTGGATTTAAATTACATTAATTGTGTGTTCCCTAGGTAGCATAATCCAAGCTTGTATATATGACAAAACCTTTTGTTAGACTAGTGTTTTATGGCAATACTTTGAGAAGTTCCATAGGCACTGAGATTCCTAAACTTGATTGACTTTCAATGGTATAAGGCTCCCAAGCATCTGTCATATAGATGTTTCTGAAAATTTTACTGATAAATCTCCTAGGATTTGTCTTGACTGGAAAAAAAAAAAAAATTGTCAAGTGTTTGCTTAGGGTAGAACAAGGCCAGCTAAACAAGACTTCAAGATATAACCCTACATATGTGTTGGGGGGGAAACATTGAGCTTAATTTGCGCTCAGCTAATACATGCTGTCGTAAATAATGTAAATTTGACCATTTTATCTGGTCAAGATGAAGTCTAATACCGCGTCTATATTAGCAACGTACATTAGCCATATAGACACATTTTGTTCAACCTTGACTGAAGGTAAACTACTCATATTGATTAGAGCAGCACTTCCCAACCTTTTCCAGATGGGGACCCATTTTGACAATTCAGGAAGATTTGGTGGCCCAGGGCAATTCAAAAAATGTGTGAATGACTCCTTAAGAACCACCTGGGGAGATACATTTCAAAAGGGTCACCAGGTAATGGTGACCCATATTTGGGTCCCGACCCATAGGTTGGGAAACCTTGGATTAGATGGTCATGATCAAACAACAACTGAAGCATGAAGTGTGAAACTGCAGTTAAATATGGCAGGATCTTTTGTGGTTCTACATGCACGGTCCATATTTATTCCAGTTTGCGCCTGCTGTAATACCATAAGTCAAAAAACCAAACAGAATGTTAGGAATAATTAAAAAAGGGATAGAGAAGGGATAGAGACTAAGACAGAGAATATCTTATTGCCTCTATATAAAACCATGGTACACCCACATCTTGAATACTGCTTACAGTATGTGATTGCCTCATCTGAAAAAAGATATATTGGCATTGGAGAAAGTTCAGAAAAGGGCAACAAAAATGATGAGGGATTTGGAACAGATCCAATATGAAGAGAGATTAAAAAGACTTGGTTTTTTCATTTTAGAAAAGAGTAGACTAAGGGGGGGATATGATAGAGGACTTTAAAGTCATGACTGGTGTGGAACAAGTAAATAAGGAAAAGTTATTTACTTGTTCATACAATGCAAGAACTAGGGGTCACTGAATAAAATTAATAGGCAGCAGGTTTAAAACAAAAGGAAGTTTTTCTTCGCGCCACATGCAGTCAATATGTGGTACTCCTTGCCAGAGGATGTGAAGATGAGGACTTTAACAGGGTTCAAAAAAGAGCTAGATTGATTCATGGAGGTTAGGTCTGTCAATGGCTATTAGCCAGGATGGGTAGGAATAGTGTCCCTGGCCTCTGTTTGTCTGGAAATGGGTGACAGGAGAGGGATCATGTGAGGATTACCTGTTTTATTCCCTCCCTTTGGGGCATCTGGTATTGGCCACTGTCTGCTGAGTACTGGGCTAGATGGATCTTTGGTCTGACCTGGTATGGCCATTCTTTTGTTCTTATGTTGATAGATGGAGAAATGAATGGTGTGAAGTCATTTCAGAATTTGACCCTAAGTGAGAGGACTTTTGTGGTGACATTAATTGCATAAATTTTCTGGTTCTTTTGGTTTACTGTCTCCACACAACAGGAAAGTCTGTGTAAAGCACAATGTACATGTTTGATTGTATCAGTGTTTTATGGGACATGCCACTCACTTATCCTATAATGCTGGGAACAAGGGCTTTCGGGTTGCTTCCAGATGTGAAGCAAAAATTGTGTAATTAAATTAGGACAACTGAACCTTTGTGCAGTTAAGGAGTGGCCATTTGGCTAATTGATACAAATTGTATTGACTACACAATTAGTTGATGATGAGGCGCTCTGCAGAGCTGCAGCAGGAGTAGCTCCTGGAGCCAGTGCGAGCTGGGACTGAGTAGTCCTGGCTTGTGCTGGCTCCAGGACTGCTGCGGCTCTGCCTTTTAAATGTAGTAAGAACTGGGTGGAGCCGCAGCGGGATTAGGTCCAGGACCTGGCGTAATCCGGGATTGAGCAGTTCCCTGACTGCTGTGCCTCTGCCTCTCCCACCCTCCCTCTTCCCTGCAGAAATGGTTTTGGGGGGGAACTGGCTTTAAGCCGGATATCCCAGCACTGGCTCCTGCTCTTCCCTCCCTGCTTCCCACTGCCTCTGATATAGAGACAGCAGGGGGGGAGGGAATGTGAGTAGTCGACTCGACTACACTTTTACATCCGTTGCCGGGAGGAGTATGCTTTGGAGGCTTCACCTGATCACTGCACCTGGTCAGGACTAAGATCGTCTCCAAGGTATTACTAAAAAACAACAAATAGTCTAGTAGCACCTTAAAGACTAACAAAACATGTAGGTGGTATCATAAGTATTATAACTAGTCCTTGCAACCTTCTGTAAAAAGCATAGCTTGTTTATGAAATCAAGGCTCTGTGCAAAGTTGCAAGTTTGGGCTTTTAGTTGCAAAGGATTTGCCTAATGCAAGTTTGTACAATATTGGGAAAGCATATTCATCCACTGCTAACAAGTATCCTTTTGGGATCTGAAAAAGTTTTCAAGTGAATATACGTAACATACATTCTCTGCTTTGTTGATCAGGCTCTCTCGGATAGCTCTTCTGCACTTCAGAAATTTAGACAACCTAAGGCTGTGTCCATGGTAGAGCTTACGTTGGCAGGACTTGTATTGCTCAGGAGCAGTGTTCCCTGTAAGCTGGGTGTTTGTGAAGCTTCTCAGGAAAAATTCAAATGCCATCCAGCTGATTAGTAGAGCGCTCACAGCTAGATTTTGTGTTTCTGTTGGTGGTGCACATTCACACATGGCTGGAAAAAATCTGCACGTGTTTGGAAAAGATGAGTGAGAACATTGTGCAGGAGTGTAAATAAACCACCCCCCAAGCAGCATAAATTACCCACTGTCCTTGTTACGAAGGCTTCTCCGATTGACACAGCTTCTGCTGCTAATTGAGATGGTTTTATTATGGCAGCATGGAGCTCTCATCTGCACACAATGTGCTCACCCGCCATGCTCTCATGGCACTGCAGTGCTATAGGTGATATATAGCACTGCAGTAATTGAATTGGTTTTACATGTTCATACTATGCTCCTTATATTAGATGTGCACATTTTCACCATGAGCACTTTCACAAATTTAACTGCCAGCATGGGGCATTGTGGGACAATTTCTGAATAGCAGCAATAGTTGATGTAAGCAACCTAGTATCTACACCAGTGTGAGGAACGTTTTTGGGTCGGGGGCTGCTGACCCACAGAAAAATCAGTTGGGGGCCGTACACAAGTGAGAACCCTCCCCACAAACATTCACTGATGTGGCCCCTGATTGAGAAAGAAAAAGAGACTCCCCATATTCCCCTTGCACACCAGAGCCTAGTGAGGCCCAGACTAGTAGGTGTTGTATCCTCCAGCCATGGTGGAGTGGCAGGAGTGCTGAAGCGTCAGCGCAGGCTCTCCACTGCTGGGGAAGGGGGGCCCTGAGCCTTGGAGGCCATGTGCGCTGGGGGCCGGATGTGACCCCAGGCCTGAGGTTCCTCACCCCGGTCTAACCGACACTATGCTGACTAGGGATGTATGCAACTAGTTGACTATCCAAGAAGCAAAAGCTTATTGTCGCCCCCCCCCCCCCCTGCCTCTATCAGAGGCAGCAAGGGGTACTAGTTGATTAAACTAAATTTAACATCTCTAATGTTGACCTAACAACATCAACTTAAGCACGACATCGTGGCTCTCAAACTCAGTTTACCTTAGTGCTAGTCCTTAAATCCTCCTAGTGGGCCAGTGGACACCCTTCTCTGGAAAAGCTATGGGGCAGGGCAAGGTCTCCCTGGATTCCCTGCCCCATTCATCTCCTAGCCCTCCCTAATCCCACCCGCTGCCCCTGGGCACTTTATCACTCCCTCCCTCCCCAGGCACCACTGGTAACACAGAGGGGCTAGAGCAGTTTCTGGCTGCTAGCTCTGCATCTCTGTGGCCTTGGGGGGGGTGCAGAGCCATCCCATCCATAGTACTGTTTGGTGCAGCTTTGTAGGCCCCTGCTGCAGCTGCCCCAAACATTCTATGGATGGGATGTTCCCCCATACTCTGTCTGGGGGAGGCACTGGGTGCAATGGAGGAGAGAGGGCAGAGTAGGGACAAGAAGAGGTGAGGACAGAGTAGGGACTGGGCTTGGGCGTAGGGTACAGACACCACCTCCCCTCCACCAGCGCTACCGAGATTCATGTGCCAGCAGCTGTGTGCAGTAGGGATGTCATAGTGTAGTGATTAACCGATAAGCAAAAGCTTATAGGTTAATGCTATAGACTACATGCATTTCCCTCCATTTCCAGTACATTTTTTAGCAGGTTGGCCAGCAGCCCAGCTCAGTCCTGGCTTGCGACAGGTCCGGGACCTCCCTTTGCTGCGGCTCTGTGTTTAAAGTGTATTAAGAGCCGGGCAGACAGGCAGCTCGGCTCAGTTCTGGGAGCTCAGATCCCCCACCCTGTGTTACTGCCTCTTTCAGAGGTAGCAGCACTGAGCAACAGGCAACCGGTCCGCGAGGGGAACAGGTTTTTAAATTGGCTCCCCTCACGGACCAGCTCCCGCCTGGCACCCCGCACTGCTTCATCTGATACAGATGCAGCAGTACAGAGTGGCAGGGGGTTCTTCAGGAGTGGGGCAGGAGCACACTGGCTGATGCCCTCCCCCCCCTCCTCCCCCCGGGAACTATAGAATAGGCTACAAGAATTCACGCGGTTACTCAACTATTCAGTTTAACATCCCTAGTGTACAGGCTGGATTATGGAATTGCTCGGGCCATGAGTTTGAGACCCCTTGTGGAGGTACAGAAGTTGAATTATTATGTTGTGGCTTTTCAGCTGTGTGAAGGGCGTTTTCAAATGTTGTGTTGAAATATTCTTGAACTGAATGGTCTACTTGCCTTTGAATTACAGGTTGAACCCCTCTAGTCCGTCATGATTTTAGTTAGCCCGATGTCCACTTATCATAGGTGTGGCCTAGTTTCTCCACGCTTAGCCACCAGTCCTGGCTGTCCGTGTTCTGTGCTGTTATCTAGCCCTGTTAGCAGTGGAAGTGTTGGTAATACTAATGGACAATATTGACCTCCCGTGGTCCAGCAAATTCTCTGATTCAGCAGCAGTCAGGTCCTGAGTGTGCAGGACTAGAGATTCTATACCTTCGTGTAGAGAATTTTTAAAAGCCCTGTGTTCTGAGGGCTTGCTACAAATGCAGTCATTAGTCTTAAGCCAAGTAGGCCATATAATTCTGACTTTGATCAACTATATTTTCTGTTGGTTTCTAATTTAATGCCTGCTGATTAGGATCATCATGGAAAAATACTAGAATTGTTTGTAACCCTGAAATTCTGTAGAAATATTGGGAGAGTTTTTTCAACAGCCCTGCTGAATGTCTAGATACTTTTTATTCATGGTATATCTTCCAGTGATTTTCCTGTAAGTTTATTTAAGCCTTCCAGTTTAAGCACGCTATTTTTATACTACACGCGTTTTGTAGATCAAAAATAAAATATGAGGTGGTGGAGATGATTGGATAGAGCAGTGTATTTTGATTGCTACTCAGTGCCTATGTAATTTAAGTGCTTTATCAGAAATGTAGATGAATGTTGATCAGATCAACTAGCTGAATCATCACATTAGGATTATGAATGAATACTGAAGGCAATAACATTGACATCATAGTAAAATATTAGAATTTCAAATAATAACTCAGACACCACTTAGATCCTTCCTGATTACTATTTTTGCTTTTGGTTGCGGAGCCTCCAACTGGGTACACTTTGCAGAGAAAGTGGTCACGCTGCTATATTTGCTTTGATGCACACATAGTGGCATATGGGATTTCAAAGGCAAAAGGGAGTGGGCTAGCTGAAATGTGTGGGACACTTAAGTATGATTCTTATATAACTACAGCCTCTTAGAAGCCTTTTTATAAGCTCATTATCACTAAATGTGAGGTTAGGAAAGTAAGTTTTATGAAGGGGGCTATTAAATCTCCTCTTTCTCATGGCAGGTTCTTGAATCCTTAAAACCTTATTTTTTCCAGAGTCGCCAGTCTTGGCCTTTCTGAATATGTTGAGGCATCAAAGGCCTGATGGATGTTGCTTGCTATACCGGTCATTCTGCAATGATTTGTGGATGTTCTTAACTTTAGGTACCTGAATAGTCCTGTGTAAGTCAGTAGGACTAATATGTTTTGTATGATCAGGGCCTATGTCTTGGGGAGGAATACAGCAACTATTTGCTTTCAATGTTTGATGTGTGAGGAAGATACTTTAAAATGTGTCTGGCTTTTGGCTACAGTGAACTGGGGGCAGAGAGGAATGCTCTTCATTCTAATATATTACGTTTTGAATGCTAGGAAGTGAGTGGGGACATTTTGCCCTTCGGGGCAAAGAGACTTTAAGGCAATAGGTCTGACCTATTTTTTTTTTTGTTCGTTGTTTTGCAGGAGCAGTTCTTGCAGGAACGCATCAAAGTGAATGGAAAAGCTGGCAATCTGGGTGGAGGTGTGGTGACCATTGAGAGAAGCAAGAGCAAAATCACTGTAACTTCAGAGGTTCCATTTTCCAAGAGGTAAGAGAGAAGGCAACTATAAACTTAATGGACTAAAATATAAAGAGACTATATAGCTAAGGGGTTAGGTGGGAGTGGGATACAGAGCCTTTTCTCTTTAGGGGGCTAGTTCCAATCTCTGGTAATGACAGCATCAGCGGTGTTTATGATGTCACCGTACAGATTCTGACAACAAATCAGTCACCATTGACAGCATTTGGCCCCCTTTTGGCTGCCTCCACTAAGGGTCTATAGAGTTTGAATTTCTCAGCCTCTAGGTCAGCCTTGAGTTGTGTTAATAAAGAGGTTAATGGAAAGGGGCTCGTCTAGACTATGCCGAAGTTCCGAAAGAGGATATGCAAATTCCCAAGGAACTTTGGGTGGCATAGCCAAAGTGTTTACATGGTAACTATCCATGCCAGGGGTTGGCAACCTTTCCGAAGTGGCATGCCAAAATTTTACCCTGGGCCATGCCACCATCCCAGGAAGAGCTCTGTCCACCGTGCACCGCGCTTGGTCTCCGGTCTTGGGATCAGCTCTGGCTTTTCCTGTGGGGAGAGAAGGGAGCAGTGTCCATGTGCGCTTCCCCAGAAGCAGGATGCAGTGCAGAGCCTCGGGGCTTCCCTCTCCCTGCAGGAAGCTGACACTGGCTCCAATCTTGCGGGGGGCACAATGCTGGATTGCCAAGTGGGCTGGAGTCAGGATGGCTCCAGGTTGAGTGTGGTTTCAGGGAAATTGGCGAGGTGGGTGTGTGACCCTGGGGTGTCCAGACCTGATGGGGGTCCAGTTCATGGTGCCCTTACCTCCCTGTCAGGCACCCAGGGGGCAACATGGCTTTGGGACAAGAGGACCCCCCCCACACACATGTTTTCCTTTTGCCTCAGCTGCCCCTGCTGCCACCCAGCCCTGGAGCTGCAGTCCGGGCAGTACTCACCCTCTAGCACAATGGTTCTCAAACTTTTTTAGTCCGTGGACCACCTGGCTCAATGCAAACCTTTCTGTGGACCCCTAGTTGCTAATGGAAACTCTCCATTAATTACATAATTACGCCCAAGCCATTTTGCTAGTGGTGCAGTTAGAGAGAATGGTTTAATTTAAATTATTAAACAGTAAGCATTTTAACTTTCTCATTTTAGTTTATCAAACTTCATTTTAAATAGAGTAAAATATTCATTTATGTTCAACACAAAAGGTTTCAATGTTTTCTTTATTTATGGCAGGGGTGGTGAGCTGTCAGTTGGGGACCATGCAAGTGAGAAGCAAAAAACTACTCCAAAACCCCCCAACCCTCTGAGCCTGACACCGTCATATCCCAGTCCCCAATTCCCCCATTACCTCCTCACCCCACCCCCGTTTCCCCTGCCCTGGCCCCCACTACCTCACCCTTTCCATGAGAGGGGAGGGATGTCCCAGCTTTGTGTGGGGTCCCTGCATTGCCCAGTGGAAGTGGGTGGGGAGCAGGGGCAGCTCTTGTGGGCACTGGGAGCGGACTCCCCCTCCGCATTGCTTTCCTTTTCTCCCAGCCCCTCTCCCCCCACTGCCTCATCACTCCCCAACCCTCGACACCTCAGATCTCCCCTTCCCATCTTGTGTGGTGGCAGTTGGTTGGAGATGGTCTGGGCCAGGCCCTGGGGGCAGGGCAACCTGTTCCCGCACTCCCCTAACCTGCGGGTTCCCGCATGCCAGCAGGGCTGAGGCAGGTGGAGCAGCCGCAATGTGGGAGTGGAATCTCGTTCCCACGGCTTTGTGTGTGGTCCCTGCACCACCCCCAATGCCCCCAGGGAGCGGGAGGCAGCTCTTGGGGACCCTGGGGGCGGTTCCTCCCTCCCCCACATGCCAGCAGGGCTGGGGTGGGTGGAGCAGCAACTGCATGCATGTGGGGAGGGTGGGGAACTGGGGTGGCTCTCGGACACCGGGTGTGAATGTGAGTCGGGATTTTCTCACACCCTCCTCCCTGCCCCATGCATCCAGAAGCCAGAGCTCGTGCTCCAAACCTTGTGGCTGAGCGAGCTCCGGGGCAGGGAGGGGTTGAGCTGCTGCTGCTGATTCCACATGCCACTGAAAATCGTCTTACTTGCCACTTGCGGCACACATGCCATAGGTTGCTGACCCCTGGTCTATGCTGTACATATTCTGTGGATAAGTGCATAGCTTTCACTCGATTAGAGGATCTACTACTAGCAGGAAATCTCTCCAGTGACTGGTGATAGGACACTTGATGGAGAGGGCTGAGTTGTTACAGAGAATTCTTTCTCAAGTGTCAGGCTGCTGGGTTTTGCCCACATGGTCTAACTGAGCAACATATTTGGAGTCAGGAAGGAATTTTCCCTCTATCAGGTTGGCAGAGATCCTGATGGTTTTCGCCGCCTTCTGCAGCAGGTCCTAATTGACTAATTGACAAGCATCACATTCACAACAGTTTTCTTCTTTGTTCATGCTTTCTTTTTTTATGCCCTACTCCAATGGTCTCCGACCTTTTTATGCCCAAGATCACTTTTTAAATCTCAGAACAAGTGAAGATCTACCGCCCCGCCCCTTCCTTGAAGCCCCACCCCTTCCTTGAAGCCCCGCCCTCTCTATTCTCCTCCTGTCCATCACTTGCTATCCCCAGCCCTTACTTACACACTCTGATAAACAGTTTATTTTTAAATTATGCGATATATAAAATTAAAATCACGTGTTTATGGTTATGAAATAAATGGTCTGCATTTTATTCATGCTATTTAAATCTAAAATGAAGCATTTATAATTATACATTTTGTGGGGACAGAGTTCTGCGGCTGGGGGCAGGGGAGAGGGAACAGGGTGCTGGGAGGGCAGAGGATAGGTTTCTGCAGCTGGGGACAGGGTGCCAGTGGGGGCAGAGTTCTGGGAGTGGAGATGGGAATAGGGACAGGGTTCTGTAGCTGGGGACAGGAGAGTGGGGACAGAGTTCGGGGAGTGGGGACAGGAGAGTGGGGACAGCGTTCTGTAGCTGGGGACGAGGGAGTGGGGACGGGAGTGGGGAGGCGTTCTGTAGCTGGGAACAGGAGAGTGGGGACAGAGTTTTGTGGCTGGAGAGTGGGATCTGGGGAGCGGGGTGCCAGTGGAGGCAGAGAGTCCCCTGCATCTGCCTCCTCCCAGGATTTCCCCCCCCCCCCCCCAGAGGGAAACCAGCGCATGCCTGCTCAGGGGACCGAACCCCCGGCACAGAGAAGCCCCGCGCGCACCTGCCCCGGGGCCAACCGCCCCCCCTGCGCGCCGGGAAAACCTGCATGCACCTCCCCCGGGGCTCACTCACCCCTCCTGTGCAGTGCAGGGAGCCAATGCTCCCTCCTGCAGTACACCCGGCAGAGCAGCTAGTGCACTTCCGTAATCGCTGGAAGTGGCGTTAAGCTGTGGGACTTCTGTCCATCCCCGGAAGCCGAGACTACCTCCATTTTCACTTGAGGTAGGTAGTGGGGCTTCTCGGGGGGTGGGAGGGAAATGGGGGTGAGGCGGACAGGACGCCTCGTGATCGACTGGTTGAGGCCTCGCAATCAACCAGTCGGTGACCACAGCCCTACTCTGACACTCTGGGTCCTCAGAATCCTCCGCCATTAAATACTAACACATTAGATCTTAGTCTCATTGCTACAAGATGAAAACGAGTCAAGGCAGGTCCATCTTGGAGAGGATTTGGCAAATAGCTTTCAGTTGTACTAGTGAACTGCACGCATGGCATTTTGACTTCATTTCTGCTCGTAAACAAAAAGCTTTATTAGAGTTTTGCTATGGAAGATGTTTCAGTGGAGTCCAGTTGACGCCTAACAAAAAATAGTTTTTTACAACAGTTCTACAGCTTTCTAAAATATCTCAAACATTAAGACTACGTAATGGAAATCATCTAGATTGATTTCCATTACGATACACTCTTCAGTTTCTTAGTTATCCTCCTGGATGTCAGCCTCTCTCCCACTTTTATGCTGTCTCCTAACAATATGTTTAAACAGTAAATAAAGATCAAAATGAGTTACTGGTAGACACAAATTTTAATTTAGGAAGTGTTAACAGGTTTACAGATCTCTGCCATGTGAAATCAGACAGCAATAATAATGACATGCAGCAATACATGCTATAGTTTATTTAACAGGGTGTTACTGATTTACAAAGTGAGCATCATTATGCTACTGACAACATGCTTTCGGTAATTTTTTTACATTGATTGAAATCTCCGATTGCATATATCATAGAGCTGGCAGGTACAAATACACTCATTGGAACGATTTCTAATAGTCTAATATACTCCTCTTCTGTCTCCTTAAATCCTGCATCAGTTACGATCCTTCTAGATGAGGTAGAAGCTTTTACTTTTTTTTCTGCTTTCCTGTTACATTGGAAGTTCAAGTCTTATCAGCCTCGGAAAGCTTTCTAATAACTAGAGAACTAATAAAATATGAATATAACAGAAGTCCAGACAATGAAAGCTGAACAACTGAAGGGAACTGATTTTTAGTTGTTGTTCTAAGTTTCTTTTTAATGCCTGGTTAATGTGAGTGAATAACCATTTTGGTGAAGACAGCTTTGTTCCAGGTTCACCTTATCCTTTCAGTTAGTTGAATTGGTGCTCATTCTCTACATATTGAGTTGCCTGATAGAGCCTCCAGAACGAACTGGGAAAGACAATTCAGAAACGTGATATTTCTATGACTAAAATAAAAGCAGAAACAAAAACAAGCAAAAAGTGTTCATAGGTCCAATTTAAGTCCTAAAGTTGTTTATTTAGTATTATCTATGTGTAAGTTTTAATTCCCTCTTAAACATGCTTTTCTTAATACTGTCAGCATTGTGTAGATGCTACTACTTGAATTTTCTATGCAGTCGTCTTCAGAAGCTAGTGATAACAGATCACCAATTTATATATAGCATGCTGATATTTAATATTTAGTACTAATAATTAGATGAAGACTCATGTACATTCTGGACTAGAAACTGACACCTGATTTGTTTGGGGCTAGTTATCTAAATAACTGAATAGGCTGTTAAGAGAATTTTTTGAATAT